CACAGTACACAGGGTACACACAGTACACACACAGGACACACAGTACACACACAGGACACACAGTACACACACGGTACACACAGGACACACGGGACACACGGGACACACAGTACACACGGTACAGACTACGCAGTACACACAGTACACACACAGTACACACAGTACACACACCGTACACACGGTACACACAGTACACACACAGTACACACGGTACACACAGTACACACGGTACACACAGTACACACACAGTACACACGGTACACACAGTACACACACAGTACACACAAAGTACACACATGACACACGGGACACACAGTACACACGGTACACACGCAGTACACACAGTACACACGCAGTACACACAGTACACACACAGTACACACAGTACACACACAGTACACACACAGTACACACAGGACACACGGGACACACTACGCAGTACACACAGTACACACACAGTACACACAGTACACACACAGTACACACGGTACACACAGTACACACACAGTACACACGGTACACACAGTACACACGGTACACACAGTACACACACAGTACACACGGTACACACAGTACACACGGTACACACAGTACACACACAGTACACACGGTACACACAGTACACACGGTACACACAGTACACACACAGTACACACGGTACACACAGTACACACAGGACACACGGGACACATTACGCAGTACACACAGTACACACAGTACACACACAGTACACACAGTACACACACAGTACACACAGTACACACGGGAAACACGGGACACACAGTACACACGGTACACACTACGCAGTACACACAGTACACACGGTACACACTACGCAGTACACACAGTACACACGCAACAATGTTGTCCCACGTCTGACCGCATAGCCGCGCGTGAGTAAATTCAACACGCATGGAGCGATTTTTTTCGGTATAAATAGGTTCGTCGCATAATGCAGCTGGACCAGTGAAGCTCGTGCGGGGCCTGCAACATATGTTAGAAAGGGGCCCTAAATGAAAAATATATATATAAATAATAAAACACGAATTTGAGGGGGCTGAGCCCCCTTGCAGCCCCCCACCCCCACGAGGCAAGAGGGATGCTGCTCCAGTGTGAGGAGTAAGGAATACAGATGACGAAGGGTCACGGCTTAATTTTTCACTTAATGTTTTCGCGGAACGCTACTATCACTAGAGTGCAAGGGACGCCCGCCTATCCCGAATGATCGTGTATTATGGTGCCTTACATTCCCAAAATCCTTTGAACGGGTTCATATAAAGGACACGAATAAAATAAGGGCGAGATGGCTTGTCAATATAATTCCCAGGCTGTTCCGGTTGAAATGACGCACCCACTAATAGGTTTACCGGGAGAAGCTAATCCCGAGGCTCAAGACTCCTTTACAGGAGGTTCCTGCCAAGCCTTCGCAGCAGCGGGACGAGGAGGATGGAGCACTGTCGCCCACGTGTAACTCCCGAATCGAGTAAATAAACGACGATCGCAGTGATCGTGAAGACGATGACGAGCAAGCGATTCAGCAGCAAACGAACAGCTCCTCCTCGCAGCACGCTACGGGAAGCTGCGACATGGAATTAAATGTCCCCCAGCCTCACCCAGAGCCAACCGAGCCTCCCGTGGGGAAGTATGGAGACTCACTCTGGGGACTCGGGTTCAATTTACACCGCGCAGAGCAGCATCTGCGATGGGATAGTCTGCATCAACTCTAAAAGCACTGGGGGTTATCTGGGCGAGATAAGGTTTCCTTTAAAAAAAAACTTCCTTTCCTCAGATAAAAGGGTGCCTCTCATAATCATCAGTATGCATGAAGGCACTTCGAGGGCTATTATTACATTGTGCTGTTTTGCTTGAAGGTAAACAGATTGGGTCAGTCCAGCTTGTAGATTCTCTTGTGGGTCTATGTGAAAAATGTAATTGAAAAATGCTTACATTATTAGATGTTATGCAATATTGATCGCATTATATTATCACCTGCATTGGACTGTGCAACCGGCATTGAAATCACTGTGGCAACATCCGCTGTGATGGTGCAGCCCTGCCATTTCTTTCTCATGCCACTGCTGGCAGAAGTGGCCAACTCTAGAGAGAGTTCTAGATAACCTCCTCCAGAACTCTCAAGGTAGTTCTAGACAACCCCTTCCAGAACCCTAGAGGTAGTTCTAGACGACCGCTCTTAGAGGGTATTTAGCTTCCTCGTCCACGCTGATCGAGGTGTCATGGAATAGCGAGGTGGGGGGTACCCACACTTTACCCCACCACACGCGATTTTCCGATCTACTAGCTATGCTGTTACTGAATTTATGCCGATGAGTATGCCAGAGGCTGCGGGGAGGATGAAATTGCGCCATTGTTTCAACTGCTGCGCCGGGAGTTAAGGCCCGGATCGGGCGACCTCTGGGTTCTGTAACTGCGGTCGCGCTGGCAAAGCTCGCTACACCACGCCAGCGTTTTGTGCCCACGTCGCTGAGCCAGTGGTGTGGGTGTGAGAGAAACCACAATGGGCTAACTGTTCACGTCCATTGTCCTGTGACTTCTGCGTGTTCCGTCACGGCATACAATGGCTAGGCTGATGCAAGTGCCCTTTGTAGCGTGCGCATCACAAAACGCAAAACGCTAAACGGGTGAAACCACATCACGCACTCGCACAACCTCGTCATCCTTTTTCTATTGATCGATTGCAGCACTTTGTCAATCTGCTGCTGGATGAAGGCCTCCCTACACAGCGATTGTCATGGATCTAGTAGATGTAGTGTAATAAGCATAGGAGGTTATGGGCCATGCACAATGCCGGATTAAGCTAGTGTGGGGCCTGTAGCCTCTGTTATAAAGGGGCCCTAAATAAAAAAAAACACGTAAATATTAAGACACACATTTTTATACTTGCATAGTAAAATAATTGTATTTTTTAATTTGACATACAGCCACAGATAATACGACAAATCCCTCACCTTAAACACCCAGTCGTTCATCAAAGTTGAAGGCGGTATAGTACTATAGTAATAGAGCAAGTGCAGAATCACTGAACCGGAATTGATAGCTTGAAAGCATTTAGCGCGGGGCCCTTGAAAGTGCGGGGCCCGTAACTACTACATATGTAGCTACTTTTGCGACGAGGATAATCCGGCACTGGCCATGTAGCAAAAAACAAAGTCTCACTGTTGAGCCCCAAGGCAAATTCCCAGGTGGGTACTGTATCGGAATGTTAGGCCATTGTCATTCCAATTGTTGTTGTTCACGTTGGGGGTGACACTCAGAACTGCCATCTCCTGGTCACCTCGAAGCCATCAGAGAGAGATATATATAACAGGTCATAGATTTAAAATAAAATCACGAATACCGGTACACCCATCCAATGCTATACAACAACACAACACTGATGCAGTGAGAGTGTATTCCTCGTATGGCCCAACATGGACCAGTGCTGTTAGCGAGCACCTATTATAATTATTGAACCGAGGGTCTGGCACGGCCGGTACCACGCTTTGATCCGCCTTTAGCTCCCCAAATGTTGACACAAGGCACCCAGGTAACCAGGGGAAAACGAGGAGGGGTAGGTACCCAAAGCTCCGCACAGATGGATTCAATAATCCAGTGCTGTACAGTGCTGCCATCTTTTCGCCACGTTGCAGCTCAAGGCCTCGGAGGAGAAAGTGTGTGTGGGGGGGGGGGGTATAAAAAGCACCGCACAGATGTATTCATGAATCCATTGGTCTAGTACCATCTCCTGGTTACACCTAGCTTAGGCATTCTCACCTCCCGCAGTACTTGCAACACTTTGCTCAGCAACAAGCAGCGAGCTCAACAATTCTGCCATGCTCATCGAACCCCGCGCGCGCGCGCGCGTGTGTGTGAGAGATGATAATGATGATGCGATAACAAACTAGGTGTTGCACATGACGAAGACGACAGCAGCAGCAGCAGCAGGTCGTCACAACCCAGCGAGGGAGAACGTCCCTAATTCCACATCAAGGGCACGTACATCGCCATCGTCATCATATGCCTGTGCTGGGGCCCGGCGCTCATGTACATCCAAAGATCCCCCTCTGCATAGCCTTCAAGGACGCATTGGGGGGGGGCAAGTGCTGTTAGCGGGCCCGGCACACGGCGGGGGTGGGGTGGCTAGCACCACTCCCGGCCGCCTTTGTCTCCCCAGCGGCGGCGATGGTGTTCACACACCATCACCGGGTTACTCATTTTGAAGCCGAGTCGACCGCGGGGAGGCCCAGGATCGGTTCAGATAATCACAACCGCGTGCGCTTTTGATTAACAACTTCAATTATCGCCCGGCGTCCGTCAAAAGCATTCTCTCCGGACGAAATCGTTCTGCCGAAGCTGTTCCTCCGTCAATTATCAACGTCGATCCGTTGACGAGACGTATTACTACTACACGACGTTCCGCACGCCGCCGTACACATGCACGCAATTCGTTGCCAAATGCCGACTACATTGTAAGTGCCGTACCACAGAACGGAGTGCACTCCCAGTATACGGACAATATACGTGCGCGTGTGTGCGTGTCTGTGTGTAAACACGCAGGACGAGAGACTCGTTCGTGGGGAATAGGCGTACACTCACCAACACGCAGTCGATTTTACAGCAAGGCGGTCATAAGAATAACGTTACACGCTGCGGACCTCATTTCGCTGTACGTTTATTCCCTAAATAGATAGAGAGACGATGCATGTACGATGGCAGTTTCGAGCCAGCCAGCCAGGGAGTAATCCGATATCTCATTCAAAGAGCAGAAACCAGAGAGACAGAGAGAGAGCGAGAGAGCTTAGCTGGGTAGGGCTGTATTGTGCCGAATCATAATTATAATCGTATCGTATTGTGTGCTTGTGTTGTGTATCCAACGTACTACACACGCTATCGCAAGAAGAATAAGAAGAAGGCGAGACGAGACGACAAGTACGTGCTTCAACCCGGCGGAATTTCCACTCGTCTCAAACGCGGGCACACGCGCGCGCAACCGAAATACTCACCCACTCCAAATTTCTCGTGGTCCGTAGGAGTCCACATCGCTTGAGAATCATAGGAAAATGAATGAGACCCGGTCGGTGCTTGCTTGGGTTGGTCACGATGACGGTGGTAGTGGTTGCGGATGACTGAGCCGAAAATAAAACGATGTCGAGACGGGGAAACGGGACGGCTGCGCCGTTCCTGTCCCTTCCTTTGCTCGCTTGGCCGTGCCCCGCGCGTGCGTGCGCGTGTGTGCCTGTGTGCGTGTGTGTGCCTGTCTGTACGCCTGTGTCTGTGTGCCTGTGTGCGCGCGCTCGATTCCTCCAGCTCGCCGCTAAGCGCAGCGTTGTCTCTGCGCTAGGGAGTTAGCGCAGCTCACACACGCCATCTTACCGCTGTGTGCGCTGTGCGCGCGCGCGTGCGTTGTGCGCGCGCGTGGGTGTCACATTGTCGCGTGTGCCTGCCAGTGTGTGCGTGTGTGCTTGCGTGTGTGTGCTTGTGTGTGTGTGCGTCTGTGTGTGTGCTTGTGTGTGCTTGTGTGTGTGTGCTTGTGTGTGTGCTTGTGTGTGTGTGTGCTTGTGTGTGTGTGCTTGTGTGTGTGTGTGCTTGTGTATGTGCGTGTGTGTGCTTGCGTGTGTGCTTGCGTGTGTGTGCTTGTGTGTGTGTGCGTGTGTGCTTGTGTGTGTGCGTGTGTATGTGCTTGTGTATGTGCGTGTGTGTGCTTGTGTGTGTGCGTGTGCTTGTGTGTGTGTGCTTGTGCGTGTGTGTGCTTGTGTGTGTGTGCTTGTGTGTGTGTGCTTGTGCGTGTGTGTGCGTGTGTGTGCTTGTGTGTGTTCGTGTGTGCGTGTGTGTGATTGTGCGTGTGTGTGCTTGTGTGTGCGTGTCTGCTTGTGCGTGTGTGCGTGTGTGCTTTGTGTGTGCTTGTGTGTGCTTGTATATGTGCGTGTGTGTGTGTGCTTGTGTGCGTGTGCTTGTATGTGTGTGCTTTTGTGTGTGCTTGTGTGTGTGCGTGTGTGCTTGTGTGTGCTTGTGCGTGTGTTTGGGCGGGGGAGGGAGGGAGGTAGACTGCGGTGATGTCGCGGTTAGCTGCGAACCCGGCCCCGCACAGGTTCGAAGCCCGCTCACGGTTAATTATCTTGACCGGTTCCTGCCCCCCCTAGGTCGACTCAGCCTCAAATGCGTGCCCGGTGCTGTTGTGTAAACCATCGCACAATAGAGGCCTTCATAGGTGCTCGCGAACAGCACTTGCCCCCAACAATATGTTAAGGCTATACGGGGGATCTTTGTCTTTGAGATAGACTGCGTTTTGTGTGTGTGTGTGAGAGTTGCTGTGCGTATCTTTAACCTTTGGCAGTGATTCACATCACCACGTTATAGCCATTTAAATGAGACACGCTCAGTGTATCAAATTAAACATGCTAAACAATAATATAATTCTATTGTACTGACGAGCGCTCCGAACCTGTCGATCCGAGTTCGATTCCTGCTCAGGGCCAACAATAGTGGCGAATATTTTAACCTGGGCCACCCCGTAGGTTGACTCAGCCTTAAATGAGTACCTGGTGCGCAGTGTGTAACACGTCGCCACTGGGGAGACAAAGGCGGCCGGGCGTGGTGCTGGCCACTCACCCCCCACCCCGTGTGCCGTGCCGGCCTTCATAGGTACTTCTCGCTAACAGCACTTTGCCCCAGCAGTCTGTTAAGACTATACGCGGAACTTTATCTTTGGGGATGAGTGGCTGGTCTCTGTTTACTTATGGGGAGCGGTGGCGCGCGGTGGCTACAAACCCGGCCACCCGAGTTCGATTCCTGCTCACGGCCAACATCGGTGATGCTATATACGAACCGGTCCTGCGACTCTTATAGGTCGACTCAGCCTCAAATGAGTACTTGGTGCGGTGTGTAAACATCTGCACTGGGGAGACAAAGGTGGCCGAGTGTGGGGCTAGCCAATCACCTCTTGGTATGCCGTTCCGGCCTTACTAAGTTGCTCGTGACAGCATTTTACCCAAAAGTCTTTGAACGGCTATACTCTATAGGGCATCTTATTTCCTTAATAGCTCATAATAATTATTCACATTACCTGTTATAGCTGTTTCACCGTATCAAATGAGATTTCCCATACAGTCGTTGTATGGTACGATGTGACGCACGTGTGTGCGTGTCACGTTATCGGTGTGCGAATACTCTGTTATGTGTGACTGGCTATGTGTGAATGTGTGGGTGGGTGCTTATTTTATTATATATTTTTTGTACCCATTTTAATACAATATCATGCGTTACCGCGGTTAGATATTGCAGTCATTCGCTTGAGAAACCTTCAGTCTATCGAATAAGTCGGATTAAATATAGACATACACCGTTGCATGTTATTGTGATGAGTGTGTGAGTGGCATATTAGAGAGAGACAAAGGCGGTGGGGCGCTGTTCTGGCCTCGTGTGCCACAGCGGCCTGAGTCAATGCTCGCTCACAGCGCTTCACTTGCCACAACAGTCTGTAAAAAAATGCTATACGGGAGATCGTTGTCTTTGTTACTTGAGTTGGTATATTTATTCGATAATAATGGACGGTACATATGTTATTATATTCACGGCATAAGAAAAATCTGCAATATTTTTTTTGCGGTGCGGTCTGTGTCAGCCGCTCGTTAAGTGGATTTTCGCCCGTGTCTCCAATTTCCCCTGTCGCCCAAGTGTAGCAGGACCCTCTTGTAAAATAGCCTCGAGACTCGGTGAATATGTCCTCGTTACATTCCATTCTTGTAAACAATCAGTTGCATATAGTCAATCAGTTGTATTGCCTAAACAAACGCAACAACTTGTACAATATTTACTGCAGTTATCACGGGAGGTGAATATTAAACATGATTTGTGCTGGTGTTAAATGTGTGTCACATTGTGTGCATGGTGCGGTAGTGTAGCGGTTAGCGCACTGCGCAACGAACCTGGTGACTCCGGGTTCGATTCCTGCTCACGGCCGACACCGGTGACGATTATTTCAACCGGTTTTGTGCCTCCCCTAGGTCGACTCAGCCTCAAATGAGTAGCTGGTGCGGTGCGTAAAAACATCGCCACTAGGGAGACAAAGGCGACCGAGCGTGGTGCTGGCCACCCACCCCCTCGTGTGCCGTGCCGGCCTTCATAGGTGCTCGCTAACAGCACTTGCCCCTACAGTCTGTTACAGGCTACACGGTGGATCTTTTTTATGGTGCAGATGGTGTGCTTCATAAATGTTGTTTACCTTTGAATGTGTTTATACTAATTGTTGGTACTATAATACATTTATTACAATCATCTAATTGGTGGTGGTAGTGGTGGTGGGGCCTAACTCAAAGTAGCACAGATTACTAAATAATTACTTTATGGTTGTCAATATATCGTGTCGAAAATGAGTGATGTCTTTGTACTTGAGTGTGCTGGTAATAATTAGAAACTTTAAAAATAAATTCACGTGAAGAAAGATCAATGCGATAAAAAGGTCATGCATATAATGAAATCGTTATGGAAGGCACGCGATTGTAAGCTTGTCTAAAACTATACGTTAAATTGTATTAGTTTTGCGTTAATTTATCCTTTGGAGAAGCGTTCCATGCAAGAGAGGCCAGGCACACAGTAATCCGATTTTCAATGGTTAAATTATGATGAGGGGGGGGGGGGAGATCCCCAAATGTATAAAATGGCATAGGTGCATCAAAGTCTAATAGTGCCGTGTTGCAACTGAGAGTGGTGGCGCTTCGGTTAGCACGTTGCACGCTACGCTATATAGGAGGAACCCAGCATCTGAGTTCGATTTGTGACCACGGTTGACACAAGCGGCGAGTGATATTATCCGGACCGGTCCTGCCTGCTTACTCACAAATCAAACAACGCGGTGAAGTATGGCCAAACAACCCCCGTGACCAAAAAGGCGTTGGGTTACCTTCATCCAGCAGTGGACAGAGCAAGGGCTGAACTTTAGTGTACTATCTTTATCTGAAAACAATGCATTTAAACTGATATCAATGAATACACACTGCAGTTTGCGAAAATATTTACTGGTAAAAAAGAATTAGGATTAAAACAGGCATACAAGTAAAGGCGCAGCCCAACAATTGCTAGCTCGTGCCACTGCTGGTGGAAGGAGCTCCGATAGAGGGAGCGTCAGAGATCGTCTTCTTGAGAGTTCTTTGGTCTCCTCTTCCACGGTGGCCAGGCGCATTCGAAGAAGTTATTGGCATATACTATTAATTAATTCGGAAAACAAGAAATGAGCTCTTCTTATCCGCGACAAATCATTTAAACTAAACGACAAGTATGAAACTATTTATTTTACCAGGCAAGGCCCACTGAGCTATATAGATGTTTTTCAGAAGCGATCTGAACACACATGATAGCTCAACGAAGTGGCTCATCACGTTGGACATTTCTCGCAGCCAAATACTCTAAGCGCATATTACTAAACGGAGGATTTCGGAGAAAAATCCACGCAACCACGGGGAGAGAGACATGCAACGCACGACCTCCTGTATACAGCAGGCGTCAGGGTTGGGTTCGAACCCACGACCTCCTGTATACCAGGCCGGGTAGTTAACATCTCGACTTTCATTACCAACGCTAAATCGGTCGGGTCCGTGTCATCTGCACTTCTATTCTTCCACTTTTCCGGGACTTTTACTCGCGGACAAATTGAGAAGAAATTCGCGTATTTTAAGAGTTAAACGCTTTTGAAAGAAACACGTTTAAAATCCACCTCTCCCAGACTGTTCTCGTGTTAGAGGGCCACTAAGAAAAAAATATTTACGAGTGGCTTCTCGAACACGAGGAAAAAGTACGCCACTCGTTCGTTCATCTGCGCCGTGCGTGAGAAATTAGGGTTGTTTTTTGCCTTTCAGGGCGATGTTATTGACGAATGTGTTGAGGCTTTTTTTTTAAATTGAATTGCACCGTGAACTGTTGAACGAAGCGAGACGTTTCCTAATTAACTAAAGCCTACGCTCTAAATACGTTTCCAATCAATTCTCTTGAACGCGCATTTGCGAGGATGCTCGCTGCCCGAGGCGCAATGGTTGAGCAAAACTGCAATTGCAGTCCAGTGGTCGCCGGTTCGATTTCCCGGCACGGCAGTTGTAACAATTGAGCAAGTTTTTTTTTTTTATATACAAGAAAAAACTAAAAAAAGCCTTGCCCAGCTGTCCATCCAACCAGCAGCACCACTCGATCATCTCCGTAGACGCCTTTGCCAGCGTGGAAGGGTAGGCAAAATACTGTACTCCCTTCTTCCAGGACTTATTTTTGTAACTCCTTTGAGCAGCGGCTCTTCTGCGAGCAGTGGCAAGAACATTGGAGAGGGATTGCGATTACAAATTAGAAGCAGATTTACAACGTGCATTGTTTCAGGGTGGAACAAAAAAGACTCCCCCCCCTACCCCATGGATGTATTGTTTGTTCGGGGTGTAACACACATTATGAGCTCATTCCCGACGAGAGAGAACGGCTCAGAT